ATCGGCTGGGCTGGCGACGCTCAGAGGCCGCAGAGCACCCGGGCAACTTGAATTTTCACAACCTGTGGCCACAACTTTTGGATGTTGCTGCTATCAGCGACCCGGGTGTCTTTGGGAGTTGGAGGGCCTGGCTTCTCTAAGGGGTGTGGGGGGAACCGCAGCGTGGGGGTCCCCTGGGTGGTGGTTGGCAATGCAGGCTCTCGCACCCTGATCCAAGCTCACTGCCCCAGACTCCGCTTTTAATCAAGTTCGCAGGTGATTGGCAGGACCCTGAGTTTGAGAAGCGCAGCTTGAGAAGTTGTTTGAGGGAAAGCTTTTCAAGGGAAGCCTTGAAGGCGCTGCTGACCTCAGGTGTGGTTTTTGACCCCCCCAAGGCCCACCCTACTTCGCCTCCTTGGAATTTGAAAGTTGGTTGGTGCAAGTGACACACTGGGAAGTTGTAACTGATGGGGCCCTTGGAATTTCAGCCTCCCCAGCTGTCCTCCCTGAGTGACTGACTGGGCGGGACCTTGGGTGGAAGGATGCTGTTTGCTTACACCATCCAGCCTACGTGTCAAGTGTTTATGTTTTAATGCCACACATTTAATGAGCATTTACCACGTGTGTGGTCTGTGTCACGTCGTGGATGACTGTTGCAACGAGGACCAAGACTGTCCCTAACTCTGTTCCTGAACTCAGAAACAAGTAAACATGAAGTGAGGCGCAGGCCGTGTTTTAAAGCGTGGAATGCGTGTTCACAAGACTTAGCTGGACCCTAGAGCCCCTGTGAGGTGCTGGGGTAACATACTGGGCTTCCTTCTGTGTCTTCATCAATGGAGAAGGCATTGCGGGTATTCAAGTGGAACATCTTGTTTGCCCCAAACCCTCCTGAAACAGGATAAGTCCTAAACTCTTGCTTTAGAGGCCAATTGATCTTTTATTATTTGTTCTCATGCTGTGAGAACTGTAGAAGTGGTGTGTTGACCAATGTAATGATGGGAAGATGTGATTTCTTGTAATGGCTTACACGTTATCCAAGGCATAACAATGATTTTGTTTCTTCCAAATATATAGTTTGGGCAGTTAAGAAAAATCTCTGCAACTTCTGTGCCCCCGCCAAAAATTATTATACAGAAAAAAAATTCTACTCTGGATAAATACATGTTTATGTTGCCTTGAACAACCAAGGGCTTGAGAATTGTAGAGTGAGAGGTCTGTAAATATATTAAATAAAATACCCAAAGCTGAACTCTTTACTAATAGAATTGGGGTAGAGCCGGGAAAATTATCAAAGAGGCCTATAAAACTATATGAGTATCCACCCTAATGTATTGTAGTTACATTATTACAATAGCTTGTGCTGTTTACATTGTGTAATACAGTTACCCTGAGAGGTACACATGTAACCAATTGTCTTTGAAGTCATATTTCCCTAACTTTTGAAAGTAAGGTAAGGTTAATAGTAACAAAATTATTCTAGGCTAATTATTAAAGTAGATTGAAGGATTGTCTTACTGAGATGATGAATTATTTTCATTTTAACTCATTATTAAAATAATTTATGCCCTAAAATCATAGATCTTTAGAAGTTTAGTGCATGGAGCTGTCTAGGTAATAGAGTAAGATATGAGGTTATAAATAACATGCAGGGAACTAACTAGGTGATATTTAATGTATTATAATTTGATCTTAAAAGTTGTTAAAAAGTTATTGATATTCTGGACTGAAAGCATAATTTATAATATCATAGAATCCATAATGTAATTGTATTGATCCGGTTTACCATTATTACCAGACATTAAATTTTTCTGTTTATGTTAATATATTAGTGAATGTGGCATTTAAAGGTCACCTGCAGCTTATAAATCCTCCCTCCCTTTTTTTTGGCTTTTAAAATCTCAATTTAATAAGTGGCAAGTGATATTTTTTCCCTCCCCAAATATTCCTCTCCCATAGTTCCATTTTAAATAATATTGTAATCATATAAGGCTTAACTGGTATTAAGTGGGATTCCTAATGAAACTAAAATGTCAAGAAATACTCTGACAAATTCCATGCTTTTATCCATTGAACTTAGAAAATAATGGGAAAAGATCAGAAATATCAAAATTCAATTTGAAAAACAATTAGTCATAAGTTCATTTATTTAAATCAGTGAAAACATGTTAAAAGAGTGAAAATGATTTAAAAGGCTTGCTTCCCTGGACAACAAGATTTTACACCCTGCATGTAATAATAACAACTAGCATGAATTGTGCTTACACTGTACAGGCACTGGCCTGGGAGCTTGACAGGTATTAAATGACTTACTCCACGAGGGTAGGCACTATTATTCCCATTTTACAGATGGGGAGAAAAGTCACACCTCAGTAACAGAGATGTGTTATAAGTACCGCGCGCTAACCGATTGCGCCACTGGAGCTCCAGTAACAGAGAGGTGACTAGTACATTGTGGAATTAGAATTTGACCCCAGGCACTGGGTGTCTAGGTCCTTACACTGTCATTAACTACACAGCCCAGTAGGTTATTATGCATTGGAGTTTCCCCACCTTGTTTATTTTTTACAGTTTGTTTTAAAAAGACAATTCCATCTACAAACTGCTACAATAACATAATGAAAAAGCAGTTTTGTTTCTTGCGGAGAGGCGGGACATCCGCAGTTTCCTCTTGATTATCTTTTACTGTAGGGATCTCTGTGTTTGTAAGGGAGAAGTCTAATTTCTGAGACAGATATTGCAGGATTTGCAAATGAAGTATGAACAATGTCCCTCAGTCTAATTATAGATGGAAAAATGGGCTAGATCTCATCCAGGTAGAGAGTGCCGTACAGAAAACAAATTTGGTGAGAACCCAATGTAAGTTAAGTTGGTTTCTTTAGGTCCCTGAATAATTTAGATGAGAGAAAGTCAGATTTCACGATTGAGGTTAGCTTTGGGGTTTCTAACGTTTGGAGGGTAAGCGAAGGCCAAGGAGGACATTCTGGGTTTTGTGGGCAGCATCAGAGAAGTATCTGTCCGTTGCTGAGAAGAAACAAATAAGACTGGTATTTGTGGAATGTGAGGAACCAGCTGAGTCAGCATCAGATAAGGCGGGAAGAAGGTAGGATGCTGAAGAAACTGAGGAAGGTGCTAACTTGAAATCTGCAACTTTGAGGTTTCTGCTGCCTCCCCACACCCTCCCATTTGAGGAACTCTATTGGGGAGGTGATTTGACTAATGGGGGAGAATTATGGGATCACTTGTCTTTGGATTCTGGTAGTTTATCAGCTTCCCAGCCTCTAAATCCAATTAAGTTAAGTAGTTAGTGGAGAGGAGATTGTCTTCTTAAATAGTCAAGATGGGGGCCATTGAGTAATTAGTTTAATTTATCATCAAAATTATGTGTCACAGGTGAAGGGGTGATTGAGCCCATATCCTGCAGGGGCTCAACTCTGGCTGATTATTAGTCACCTCTAACTTTAACATTTCACATTTAAAACAATACAAATGCCTGACTTCCTTTCTCCAAGATTCTCATGCACTGGGCTTGGAGTGGAGCCTGGATGTCGGTATTTTTAAGACACTCTAGGACAGTGATGGCTAACCTATGGCACCTGTGTCAGAGGTGACACGCGAACTCATATTTTTGGTTGACTTTTCTTTGTTGGATGTCATTTAAATATATAAAATAAACATCAAAAATATAAATCTTTGTTTTACTACGGTTGCAAATATCAAAAAAATTCTATATGTGACACGGCACCAGAGTTAAGTTAGGGTTTTTCAAAATGCTGACACACCGAGCTCAAAAGGTTCACCATCACTGCTCTAGGTGATTCTAATACCTAGCCAGGGTTGAGAACCACCAATCCATAACCACCAATCTTGGTATCACTGAACTCATTTGGTTTTAAATTTTTTCCATGGCAGATACTGTATCTTAGGCATCTATAGACCAATCTGTCATTAGCAACTGTCTCTTTATTCCTACCCTGTATGAATTCTCTCAGCAGGTTCATCTGAGCTCCAATAATTTATTAAGTTGAACATTCATTACGTACACACACACACACACACACACACACACACACACACGGTGAGGTTGAAGTGAATAACCTATTTAGTAACAAGAGTGTATGGTGTATTCAGCAGTTGAAATTAATGAGATATTATGAACATTGAGTTCATGGGAAAATGGGTGTGCTAGAATTTTTCAGAAGCTGATTTGTGGATCTGACTGTATGAGAAACCTTTTTTCTTTCTCTTTTTTT